TATATTTTTTTAGCGCTAGCTAGGGGATTGCAGTATAACGGCGACAGAATATGGCTTAATTGTTCATTTATTGTTTTAAGAATTGGCTTCTTTTTAAATTTCTTTTATACCATTTATTGCACTAAAAATCAGAAAACTTTTTTCACATCTTCGCTTCTTTGGATGGTAAGAATCTCATTGAACTAAAAAAAAGTTTTTCATTGACACCGACAATGAGAATTGTATGTATTTGAGATTTGTAACAACTTGCCAATACTTCTTAGGCTTCTCCTTTTACTTTAAAGAACTAAAGTCTATTTAAAGAAAATTTCTAAAAGAGTTAGTTATTTGATGTACGCAAAGTTAGACTTGGAAGCTTCAAGTTTCATTTTGATATAACTCCTATAAAAGTATTAAAAAATTCAATGTTGTACGAGTAACATATTTAAAGGTGCTACTTGCTATATTTGTGCTCCAAAATGTAGGCAATATTTTATTTGATGATGTAGTTCGATGTCTGGTATAATTTCACCTTACAAACTGACTAAAAATTTATGAACTATGTATACATAATTGAAGGGTATAAGTGAATAATAAAACAACTTTATATAATATATACAGATTTAAATAATTACAGATTTTTCCAAAATTTAAATCATTCAAATCTTATGGCAAGTTTAACGACTAAGTAAAATTTTCCGAACAAAATTCTTATTGTTATTTTTTTTGGATATTTATCAAATGATAGTTCCGTGTTAAGAAGAAGAATTCAATTTTTTTACGATTGACTACTGACAGTTTTTTTAACTCAAAAATTAACACAAAAAAAATTAATAATTCGATGTATTGAATTACAGGTAAAAATCTCTTATTTTTCGAATAAAAATATTTTTCTGCAGTTGTGCAGTTAGCAAACCGATGATTTTTCAATAAATTTCCTAGCCTTTCAGCCTATTTAACAAACTATGAGATTTAAATTAGAGAAATCTATAAATATATACAAAAGTTTTCTCTGCTTACTCTACACTCTTGTCAAAAAGTTTATATGTGAAAATAATAAGCATGTTAGGTAGATGAATTCTATCCAAGATAGTGTGTAGATAACTCCTAGAGTAACAATAACCTCATCCTATTCTATATCTACTTTGTTCTACCCATCTATAGAATTTATACCATTACACTGACAGGCGAATAAAAGCATCAGGAACTAACAACATTGAGCGTTTCAAGAACATATCCCTAGATCTACTCAATATCCTCCAAAATATTCTGCAAACTAAAGAAAAAAAACAAAAAAAATCGTTATTTTTTTCACTTGCCCATAAAAGTATGCTATAAACAGTCAACAGTGAAAAAGCCAGCAATAAGTAATATCAATTTCCAACAGGGCATATTTTTACACTTATATGTACAAGTACATAGCACTAATCTTGGCATAAAAGCAGGAAAGTCTTTGGCATAATTTTCGAATAAAAATAAATTGTGCGAAATGTTTTTCGTTGAGTTGGGTTCATCATACGCCGGAGGCGCTAAGCCTGGTATGCGGCAAAGCAAAGTGTAATCGACAGCAAAAGTGCTGTTGGAAACACAAATCGCCGAGAAGCAGCTGATTGAGATGGCAGGCAGCGGACGCCAACAGCAAATTGTAAGCGCAAATGTGGACCCCGGCCTAGAGAAGGCAAATCAAAAATTATGACAAACAAAAATCGTCCTCACTTCGGGCGGAAGTCAATAAATTTGCTGGTTTAATAGCAGCCACACACGCATACACACACAAATATAAAGCGTTCATACGTGCACGTGAGAGCAAATATGCATTAGCGTGTGAGTGAGGGTGTACACGAATGTTATTTTTACGCGTGTCTACATGTGTGCGTGCTAAGCTGTTGTCGGTTACACATACTCACACACGCATAAACATGTTTATAATATATGTGTGCGGAAGACCCGTTGTGGGAAAACATGCCAAATCAATTTGACTGTTTATGGCTGTAGCCCAAAAGTATGCTTATCATTTTCATTTGTGTGTGTTGTGTTGTTTTGTTGTTTGTGCATAAATGTTCTGTTGTAGACAATAAAATATCGGATTAATAAAATTGGTAAATAATAAATACCATATTAAAGGACTTATTGAAGTTTGAATGATCATAGAAAATTGTTGTTTTTGTTCTTTTTGTAATGTTATCTTTTATGGCTGCGCGACTGGACAAGCAGGACATATTTTTTTATTGCTCACATTAAAGAAAATATGGATTTTTACTGGTGCTGATATGAATAAATGTGTATTTTTGTGCAATATTTCGGCAGATTTTGTAAAGAAGTATCGTTTATAAAACTGTTATGTGTATAGATAGATGTAAGTACAAAGATAAATGTGTAGCGCATAAATTGAGCAAATGAAGTATTAGTGCGATTAGTGTTGCTGACGTCATTAAACACGATAAAAAACACAGCATAATAAAATCGTTTTCTTAAAATCTTATATTATAATAAATTATTTCGATTAATATTTTTGAACTTGGAAAATAAGAAAATTGTATTGGTAAAATATGAACTTCTGAAACGAAACATTGAAATAATATTGTGACTTTGAAACTATGTCAGATAATACACGATTTCTTCTTTCTGTATAGCTAAACATAGGAAGACTCTTCGTCAAATTAAAATTGTTCTTAAACACTAATGATAACATAGACAATTTTTCCAACTGAAAAAAAAAATTTATATATTTTGGGGAACAAAATATTTATGAATATGCATATTTAAGATTCATGAAAATACACTAAGTTACCAAAAATACTTTACTCAGGCCACCATTGGGTCATATTTTTCATACATAACAGAAAAATGATGAAAAGCAATATCGATATCTGCCCGAAAATGCATGAAAAAGTTCTAGACTGTTACTGATTTCTGCAAGGGGCGCAACCAACCACACTACGAATCCAACTATTCTGTTTCTGATTTGTTTGAATTTCTGAAACCGAAAAGAGCAATGACAAACTCTACATATATATCGCCATAGACTCTGCTTGACTACTATTTTTGAGGTTATTTGGAGAGTAAAGTCAATGCAAAAATTTGTGCCGAAAGCATCGTTATACGATAAGAAAGACAAATACAGAAAGAATTAATTACAAGCGAACACTTGATTGACGTTGTATTTGAATAGTTCAAATGTTTTCTCCAAATCGTTTCTAACGAACCAAATTAAATAATTGATTTGTATAATATTTGCTAACACAATTTAAGGGTTTACTAAAGCTTTTTCTTTTTAATTTTATTTTCTTTCATTTAAAAATCATAACCTTATGTTTCCAGGTAAAACTATACTATCCAATAACTTAAAATTACCATATGAAGTTCTAATCAGCAATAAAGAAAAAACCCTCTAGAGCTTTTGAAAGCCAACAGTTCTTATACGGACACTTGAGCCGTAAATAATAAATTTTTCTCTATATAGTAAAATTTTGAAACGATCGGCGGTTAAAAAAATATATAATTTCATGTTTATGAAATAGTTTCAAAATTTTAAGGTCAAGTTCTTGATATTGTACAAAAATTCTGTCATACCTTATATTCAAAAGGTTTTCAATCAAAGTCTATGACTATATATAAATAAGTGAGTATGTAATTCCATTGTTCTGGACGTATGTAAGTTATCGGAGCTTTAGTCTGGATTCCGTACATTGTCACTAGCTTAACTACTATGAAGAGTGTTAGCTGTTAAAAAGTTATATTTATAACTTTTTATACCCTGAATCATCTATGTAGAAGGAAACGTCAGAGACGATTTGTATGAGAGATTTTTTTATTTGACCCAAGGTAGCGTTCTCATAGCTGCATAAGTTTTTAAAAAGTAAACAAAAGGTTTGCCAGATGGATAATGAAGGGACTCTATTACAAGACTTGGAGGTAGAAATCTTTTATAAGACGATTAAGTGCTGACTCTTGTTATGAAAACAAGATCAATTAAAACTGTATATACCTATATTATTTTACATATATATTGCAAATTTTGTAAAATATTCATGCAGATAATCAGTACGGGTGGAAATCAATAGTTAAAATTTATGGCGACGTTTGGTTTTTTGATGAAGGCAAAATGTCAGGTCTGCTGGAACTTTAATTATCTCAACAACTCGCTAAACATTCAGAGACATATGTGACATATACACGTGTAACAATTGTAACAGTTCCGAGCAAAATTTATTTTATTCACCATCTGGAAAGAGCGCCATCTGTTGAAAACAATTTTTTAGGTAGGAGTAAAGACTTCGGATTTCGTAGACTTAAAATTTTGATAGCAATATGGCAGTTATAGGATTCATTTAAAATTCATATATGTGTGTAAAACTATGGTCTAAAAATATAATTTAAGGTGTTTACAAGATATCACAAATTTTTTGGTAATATTTGCAGGCACTTAAAATTCTATATATAATATAATATACAATATTACAAAAATTAACTATCTAATAACTTAAAAAAGCAGCTCACATAAACATATTGAATTGACAAAATAAAACCATTATGCTAAAAGTTAAGTACTGATAAAAACATATAAAAATTAGGTAAACAAATCGGGTAACACAACAAGGTAACGAAAGGTTAACAAGACAAACAACACGATGCCTGAAAGCAAATAAGGAATTCGCTCAGGAACACCCTCACACACACATGCCCACACATAAATACATACGAGGTTGTTTGAATAATAACTAATTTATGTGGGCAGCTCCCCGTTAGAGGACTATTAGAGTAATGACTTCATTTGAGGTGCGCCCGCGGGGGTGCTCCGGAGCAAAACAGCCAAATAAACAAACAAAAGGTGCGACGCAAAGAAATAACACACAACACAAACAAAAATGGGTATTTAAGAACACACATAAAAGAACGTGCAACGTGCCGGTCATGCCACATATAACGCCACATGCCACATGCTGCATGCAAAAGCCGCTTTCAATTTCCAATAGGATTTTGCATTCTGATGAGCCTCATTTTCGGGCAACTTTACTTACAGTTTGTGGCTGCTGCACTGATGTTGATGCTGACGTTGATGTGGCATGTTGCAGGAATACCAATGGACCGACAACACTACCGCCGGCGCCGCCTCCACCACTAGCGCTATTGTTTGCGGTCTTGTGCAACAAAGATTTCGGCTGTTGTACAATGGGCGGCTTACCGTTATCGAATTGGTAGTAGAGCACATCGGTGGCAGGTGTAGCGCCACCAAAAAGCATAGCGCTCTCAACACCACCCGTACCGCTGCTACCGCCGAATGATGATTTGTAAAGCGCTTGCTGCGGTGGTGGCGGATCGGCGGTTTGAGCGCCCGAAATGTGATAAGCTGACATTTGTGGATGCATCTCCGATGGCGCATGTTGTAGTTGCTGCTGCGGCTGCGCTTGCCCAGTGCCACGTAGAAAATCGGGCATTTGCGGCATTTTATAGTTGTAGATGTAGGGACGCTCATACTCGACAGTGCTGCCACCAGCACCATGATGTATGTAGGAGAGAAATAGATCCGACTTGGCTGGATGAAGACGAGCATCGAAGCCACCCATGCCAGCGGTGTGTGCGGGCATCGGTGTGTGATAGCAGTTGGAGGTGGGCATCTGACCGGTGAGTAGCTGTGTTTTGGTGATAGCTTGCCCGGAGAGTCGCCTTGTCGGCACGCCTATATCCGACTTGGCGTCGCGCTTCTTAATGTGTAAACCGGCGACCGACGATGGACCCTGATAGTAGTAGGGCGCTGCAGGCGTATTCGGCCATTCGACGAAGCTATCCATGCGATTGGTGCTAGAACTTAAATTACTACCACAACCATAAGCATTATCAACACTACTACAACCACCACCACTATGAGCACCTGTAATATTACCGCTACTACCGTTACCACTACTGCCGTTATGACCGTTGCCGGCTGACGCACCAGTCGATTTGCCAAAAACATTATTCAAACTGAATTTGTATTGATTATTCTCGAATGTGGTGTAGTTCAGTAGACGATTGCCAACACCACTGTTGTTGTTGTTGTTGTTGGTTGCACTTGAGTGTGTGGCTTTTGAGGCGCATTTCTCATTAGCGTTAGTAAGGTTAGTGGCCGAATGATGGGCGGAAGCAAGGGACGTAGGACCATGGGAGTTGGTTGATGAGGTGTGTATGGGCGCCAACGATTTACCCATTTGATGGTTGGAGTTGGGGTTATTGTAAATGGGTTTCGTTTGTGATGGCTGTTGTTGTTGTTGGCGTTGTGCAAAGCATGAAGTTTGGCGTGGCGTAGCCTGTTGTTGTTGTTGTTGGTGTTGCATTTGCTGATTACTCACAGTTTGTTGCATTAAGCTGTTGTATGTGGTTGTGCCATTGCCGCCGCCTCCGCCTCCTCCACCGCCGCCAATGGACTTGCGATGGCTGCCGCTGGAGGCACCCGAAGATTTATTAGTTCCATAGCGTGTGCTGTCGCTAGATCTAGATTTGAAGAAAAACAACAACATATGCAAAGAGTTGGTAGCAGCACAAGTGAAGCATAGTATTAGGGTGTGTATATCGTAATCTGCCGGGTACTCACCTCTCGGAAGAATAGGCGTAGTCTTGATCGGCTCCTAATCCGGAATCGGTGTGTTCGTGTGACACACGCAACGCTGAATTCTCTAGTGGGCTGAGATTGGAGCCTGTCGGTGAGATAAAGTCGCCCATACTCATGCTGGACATCATTCTGTAAAAAATTAGAGTTTAGTTAAATGCGTCAAGGGATATTTCGGCACACTTTAAGTGTCTAAGCCTACGACCAAAAAATCAGCGCGAAAGAGGATATAGTTCAAGCAAAATGTGAGCATTTTGAAATCGTTAGGAACCACAATCCGGTTGAGAAACTTTTATGACTTTATGGAATACACCTTTGGAAGAAATCCAGAGAATAAATTTTCTGGGATGTAATATTTGCATTGGCAGCCTACGGAGCGCAGAAGGTAAGCCTTTTTAATTTAATATTTTGAGATTTCCAGAGTTAGGTCATTTTGCCTCGATATAGGGTTAAGGTAAGAAAGATACTTCGAATATACAACAGGAAACTGTATATCGTTTAAGATCTAGTGAGCTATTTATGATACTTTTAATTCTTGACCATAACATTACCTTACTAAGCCGCTATTCCGTTCACATTCTCTCGAAGATATTGTGCTGGCGGAGCGTATAGATCCATTTCGGCCACTCGTATTATCAGTCACATTCGAACTTTGGAAATACAATCTGTGAAGAAGGTAAAGCAAAACTAATTTTAATTTAATTAAATAAAAACAAATAACATTAAACTACATAAAGGTATAACTTTGCTTAAAGATTTTATAGGGTGATCCATTTTAAGGTTCCCAACTTAAAAACAAACAAAAAATTATGAAAAATTCAAATTTAATGAAGAATGTTTATTATCATTTGAAAGAACATTCTTTGGCATTTATCTTTTGAAGATTATCTCTTTCAAATATTGGTTTTCGACGACACGTTCGAGTATTCCTACTGGTAGCTGGCGAATTACACTCGTTATTCAAGGCCTGAATTAAAGCGGAAATGTCCGCATAGACTTTAGACTTTACATATCCTTACAGGAAAAAGTCTAACGTTGTGTTATCAAACGATCTTGGTGGTTAATCGACCAGCCCAAAACGTGAAATTATCTGATCCGAAGTGTTCTCTCAATAAATCCATTGATTGATGCAATGTGTGGGAAGTGGTGCCGTCTTGTTGAAACCGCTCAGTAAGTCGATTATGTTGACCATAAGTTGAGCGAAGTGCGCGAATTTTCGTAATAAAGTTGAACGATTTGTAAACGTTGTTCAGGCGAAAGTTTTTTCATAATGAAATGCCAAAAACAATACTGAGTAACATGAGAGCATGACATGACTCACGGCTAAGTACTTTTACTTGGATCACCCGTTACATTGAATATGTTTTCAAGAAACCAGAAAATAAAAAATTGCAAGTTATTCAGAAACCTTATGCATATTTATTATTTGTATTCTCCCTCACATAATGGAATATTTTTATAATTGATGTTGTCTAACAGACTTGGGTTGACGAAAAGTTCTCAAAAGCTTTCAGAAAACTACGAACAATCTAACTCTAACGCTAGGCTGATAAGTACATGTTAGCAGCCTTAGTACAGGAATTTCTTCACATGTGCTTAACTACTTTAGGACTACTTTAAATAGGAAAGATTGGAAATCTTCTCGTAAGGGAAAACATCTAAATCTACTTTGGTACTTGAATAAAAAGATCAAATTTAAATCGTACGTAGACACGAAAATCTTTACTATAACGTATAATAAATCTACTATCAACATGATGTGCGTATTATACACATAGTTCACAGTAATACTGATCTTGTATTTCATGAGCTTATTTCTATGCAGCTTTTCTAATGTTTCCAAAACAGATTTCTATGTTTATCACACTCTAAAATCTTTAAAATCGTTTGAATTGGTCTCTGTTTAGATCATTAAAGATCAATAACAAAATAAGTTCAGTAGTGACATTTTTTTTTGATGTAAAATGTGTAATGACAATTTTAAGCTAAGTTATTTCGTTAATTTTCCGAAGTCCGTCTTAGTCGAACGAGCGAGTTTTGTCCCAAATCAGCTAATATCAAATCTTAACATGCAGTAATATAGAAACATGTTTGACTATTCTTCATCTTTGACGTTTCTGTTAGCAGAACTAAACATTTTAAACTTTGAGTTATGGAAAATAATTGTATAGTAAGAGTAAAGCACAGTAACACCGCCAATTTTCCAAGTGCTCGTAAAGTCTTATAATTAATATAACGACGCTAATTTTTAGCTTTAAATTCATTTTGCTGATTGTCATATATATTAATTCAATTCTTAAACACTTATAATATTTTCTTATAATTAAACACATTTTTCATTGGAAAGCTCACCTGATACGATCATTGTTGAGATTAGGTTGACCAGATTCACATTTTCTAAGAAAATGAATTTATTAAAATCAGTACTAAGTTGGAAAAAATTAACCCTAACATAAAGCAATTGTTTTCGAAGTTATTCTGTTTTTTGTTATTTGACTTTTAAATTGAACTAAATATTTATGTAGTTATAAATAGTCCTTATAAAAAATAGCTTGTCTAATGAACGAACCAGCTACAGTATAGTAATTTTTCGGTCAAACTTCTGAAGACAGAGTTTGAAGCTTTCTGAAGTTACACTGGTAATATCTCGACTACCAAAACTCAAATTTTCAACTATTGTGTAAATTTTTGAGTCCAGAGAATAATATAGAAATCTAACTGTCAATTTTTAAAGAGTGGAGGATATTAAGTATATATTTCGTTGCAATTATACTGAATTTGTGAAATTTTACTAAGATTGTCTTCTATGTTTTTGAAAATGTAAGGAGCTTTAACTGCTATTTCTAATTTAAGGTTTCAATATCAAAAAACTCACCCTCTAATGCGATCCACACGATTTTTGCCTTGTCCACTTGTTGAACCGCTGCCGTTTGTTATCGTATTAGCCGAGCCAGTGCTTTTGCCACCCACGCTACCCTTACTGCCGCTCTTGTGGATCTTCATATTCATTGTGGAACGCTTGGAATTCGTCTCCACGACTGTGTAGGGTATTTCGCGTAACTGATCTTCAGTCATGCCGGCTGTATCGACTAGACCGAATTGCAAATGTTTCGCTAGTTCACTAGACCAAATGCGATTGCGCGAATCGGAGGGAGATCTTGCGAAAGATGGATGAAATAATACAAAATAGAAAATAATATAAATGAGCTCATACACATTTCTACTAAATTCCTCCTGTATGCTCCCGATACTCACTTGTTCTTCCGATGTCGTCGTGATTTGTGATGCGAATGCGTATCCGAATGACTATCGTTGCTGTGCATGCTGCGCGCCACCACACTACTCTTCGATACTGATGCCTGTTGTACGGAACTTTGACCCATACTAGCCTCAGCCTGGCGGCGTTGAACTTCGCGCCACTGTAATGTGGAATCGATTAACTCCGCTGAACCGCTGCGCACCGATGACGAACGGTGGCCCGAATAACTGCGACCGCGCGTGCTCTCATGCTCCGAACCGGCAGAGTCACGACGGTGACGCGAACGACGACGCTTGCGATGATGCGAACGACCTGAACGACCAGATCCACGTGATAATTCACTCTCATTATCGGAGGTACGCCGATGGCGATGCTTATGCCTGCGCGTGAAAAGTGCAAAAGTACGAGAGGGAAGACACGTAGTTTAGTGGAAGAAAAAAACATTGAGTTTAAAATATACCAGCAAGATCAAGGGTTAGCAATATAATTGAACTCAAAGTCAATATTGCGCCAAATTATTGGTTATCAAAAACATATTTCAACTAAGCAGTCGACGGTAATACGATCGTACGTGCGATCAACTGCGGTACAAAGCGATCGCCTAGAGCGATTTGCTCACGCCAAATGCGGCTGCGGCGTGCGCAATGGACTTTTAAAGTGCTTGCGCTTCACCGTCTTCTTGTTGGGCTTATTATTATTGTTGTACTCACCTGCGCGTCGAACGTGAATCGTTTGATGAATGACTCTCCACCGAACTCGAACGATAACGCTGCTGATGAGCAGATGTCGAGGATGAAGATACGTGATCGCGATGCGCTGAACGCGACGAATGCCTATGCTGTGATGATCCCGACTGGTGGTGATGGTGTTGATGGTGATGATGCGAACCGCTACCACCACCACTGCCACCGCCTGCAATCGCTGAACGCACCGAGCGCGGACTTGATGGATTATTGCCGAATAGTGAACGCTGTTGAGAACGTGGCCATGGAGCGCTGCGCGTGCTGCGCGGCGAATCAGGTGTTTGCAAATTACTGTTGCAAACGCTGCCACCGCCGTTGTTGCCCAACTGGGATTGCTGATGGTAGGGACGTATGCCGAGGCTCGTTGGTATGCTGTAGGTGGAGCGGTAGGGACTCTCGAAGTTGCTGTGCCGGAGAAAAAGAGTGCATAATATGGAGTATAAGAACAGCAAAACTATTTATATATATGTAAGTATTTATTTAGAAGTATTTTCATAAAATAGTATGTTCATGATTTATAGAGACCTTCGCAGGCTTGTAATTTAGGTGTAAAATAAATTGTTTCATATTAAAGACTTGCGCGTATATAAGCCACTGAGTTTGTGACTCTTAATGGAGGTGCTTTCGTTGTACTTGTGCGTGGCGGATCTCTTAAGCGTGGATATCTTGTTCGCGTTTGTGCGCTATTACGGCTGATTACACACGTCACGCAGATACTTGATGCGCACGTGAGTGGGCGTGAGCCTGTGCAACGACTCACATGTGCTTGCTCGCCTGCGGTTATGTTGTGCAATAAATATTGATTTGTATGCTTTGCTTAGATTTCGCATAATTTGGTTGATTAAGCAGCGCATTGCAATCGCCGGGCTCGGACAAATTGAGTAATTGCAACCGCTGGAAGCGTGTCATGTGTCAGAATAGCATGGTTGGTGGACTGATGAATGCAGGGGTGATAGGGAATTTCTTAATTTACAATAAATTTTAGAGTAGAGTAAAAGCCAGACTGCAGCAAGAAGAACTTTGTGCTAAACTAAAAAATGGAGAATACTACCTTATCCGCCTACGCCGGCTACGGTCCTTTTAAACCTTCGTTAGAGCAAATATTGGTATATGATATGAGGGGGAGAAAAGTTAAGACAAATTGAAAGTGATAACAGTAAACTCTTTTCAAATGACTGCTATCGACTTTGTATCATATGTAATTCTAATCAATAAGACGTACATATTCGTAATCAATAACAATGGAGCATCATAGATATTTTAATATACACGTTCTTAAATTGCAACGCTTATTTTTCGATTTGACGTCTGGGCCTTCATTAAGCCCTTTCTAAGAAACTAAGCATAATAATTTGGAAATATCTAAGAATAATGTAATAACATGAACACATGAAGATGTATTTACTATCTCCAAAAAAATTAACAAATTTCGATGTTGGATGAACTAAGCTCAAACTTCATTAAACATTAATTTTAACAGCGACCGTCCCTATACATAGATTAGTAGAATTCAACTCCCGTTCGAAAACCATAAGAAAGAGAAGAGGACTTTGAACTAAATCGTTTTGTTTTATTGAAAAACATTTACTTCGTATTATAATAATAATAGGAAATTCTTGCTTAGTGTTAAGAACCCACAATATGTATAAAGTGTATACCACTTTCGAACGGTACATTTTCATTAGAAAAACGACACATCGGTCTGTAATAAATCACCACACTAAACATAGTTGGCAATGTCTAGACGAAACAATTGTCTTTAATTGAATTTGAATGGATTTGCGGCACGATCTCGGGGTTGAGGTGCGACCACTTGAGGTGTCAGTACACAGTCAGGAAAAAAGCTAAATTTACTAACGAATATTTGTTTTCTTACCCTTTAGCCATAGTATAATAAACGCAATATTTTTTTTGGCAAATACGTATGTGTGTTGTATACGCTCTGCTTGTTGCTGTTTCACCATTTCGCAAACATATTGAAAGTCAAGAAGTGCACTTGATTTCTTTGCTAATGAAAAGGCAAAATATCGAGAGGAAAAAGCGACGAAGAAAAAGCACAATCTCAAATGACAAATGAAAATGAAAGGGAGAAAAATCATGACGTGTGTGTGAGGCACTCGGGCGCTGCGGACGATTGGGTACGACTGCATGACAAATGTAGTACCGTTAGTTGGCAGCAAAAGCCACATGCTTAGCATAAACAACGATGTGTGTTTGAGGCGCCGAGCGTTCTGCCAAAATAGCCCAAAATCAAAAGTGAAATAAATCAAAAGACTGTTTACAATATTGCTGGTTAGCGGTTATAGCGCTAGAGAGTCAGCGTGAAGGCAAAGGAAATGATGCATTAGACTATATATGCGTAAGGATGTGTGTGTGACAGGTCAAGGCTTGAGTGCACGTCCGCCGGAAATCAGCAAAAGTATATGCAATGATTCAATAAAAAAATCTAAAATAAAAAAAAAAGATTCGATTGGAAATAAATAAACTTTGGCGCTGAAAGGGCTAAATAACACAATCTTTTGTATACAAACATACACGAGGTAGATGCGTGCGTGTGTGTGCGAATGATTTTCAAGTGTGCATAGTGTAAACTTACTTGGGCATCATGTTGGTCGCTTGCATGCCCGCGCCAACACCGCCGTCGCTGTTCTGGTAGACGCTGCTGTCAGTGACGCTGTTGCCGATACCGCCATTGGTGTGACCGCCGACCGTTTTGCCTTTCAGGGTGTTGCTGGTGCTTCTACTGCCGTGCAGAAAGTCATCAATCACTCGTCTTGGCTGGCGTTTCGAGGGGACACGTGTGAATGCCGGCTGTATGCGGCCCAGCGAGAGTGCATCCTTGGCCGAGGGCTGCTTCTCCGTGCGACTGCTGTGTGCGTGGTGAACAAATGATGAGTTGGCAAGTTGGTTGGCCGATTGGTTGGTTGTTGGTTTGGGCGAGTGTTTGTTGTTGGTCGTAAAGTAAAACAAATCAATCCATATTTGTTACGGGTTAGGTTGTTTGGCAAATGCGGGAGATGTGATGATGTTGGAGTACATAGAAAAGAACGAAAAGAAAAAATTATACATTTGGGTGAACAATGGGGAGAACAAAAACAAAAACTATAAACGATATGAAATAACAATTCAAAGCAAACTTTATGCATACACATGGTTGTTGTACTTGACGTTGTTCTAGAAAATATACACATTTCTTTGCGAAGCAACGCAAACGTAATAAAACGGAGTATTGGAAAAAAGTTCACATGGCAATAAAGCGACGCAAATGCCTGGCATCACTGCGCTCGTAAAAACTTTGACGCAAGCCAAGAGGCGTGCATTGCCTAGCCCCTTGTCTGTTGTTCGCCGTTGCCGCGCCTGTGGCCGCAGACAAATGAGTTGCACCCGAGCTAACCTTGTCGTGACGAATGTCGTAAAAAACCACAAACAATCAGCGAAAACAAGCTGCCACATGCCATGGAAAAGTCCAAAAGGAATGCGCTTCTTGGCGCATTGCCACGCAGGCAGTCATCTATCTTCTAGCCAAGCGTTTGCAGACAAAGAGTTGTGGCTTAAATCAGTATAGAAAACTGTTAAGGGGCTTAGGAGAAGCATTCATCATGTGAACTCGCATATACTCAGTTCTGTATGAGAGAAGCGGCTACAATTGCATTAATATTATATTATACATGTATTCTTAATAATATTTGATAACTTTTTATACGCGGAGGTCTACTTTGTGATTCAAATTGAAATACACTATTTATTGGTCTACAAGTATGGCAGTATACAAGTCAGTTCTGCATTTTTACTATAATTAATTATTTTAAATCTCTTAATTAGATAAATCTTGTGGATTCAGATTTTAGCCTTTTCCTCTTTTGGTACATTCAATTTAAACTTTGATATATTAATTTGATATATTAAATTATTTATGAGATAATGTTTTTTAAATGTCAGATTTGGGTAGCTAATTGGCGAAAATGGTATATGGTATACATTTTACATTCCGATATTATTTATAGGTCCTTGGTTCATGAGTAGACCTAAAATTTGTATATCACAAATATACAGCTCTCAAATCATATAACATAATAAGATAATATACAAATATAAATAAAAAAAACTATGTCAAAGAAACAATACAATACATATATCATGATTTTATGATTAACGTTTTAAATGCAAATATTTTGAATTTATAACAAATAATAGTAAACCAACTAGGAGCACGTTGATCAAGAGTATTTGTGTCGTTCTTTGAAATTTTGTTTCGCACTGCTTTTAGCAGATACTTTTAGAGGGGTTTATTTCTGGCATCCCGCCTTTTTTGAAATCAGCTGTTCAAAATTCCTCATAGTCAAGGAAAGAAAATGAGAAAAATATTAGGGAAAATGAGAGAGTCTCGTATCATGTCATCCTTGATTACGCAGCGGACAAGACGTGCATGAAAAGTATACGCTTGTATGAATGAAGCAAAAATCAACGATTTTGTAGGGAATTAGATTTTTTCTTTGTAGAACATTTAAATATATACTATATTTTGTTTATATTTGTTCATAATTAAAAATACAATTATTAATATTTTTCATTAATACTTTTTTTGCAATACTAGTAAAAGTAAAAGTAACTGTGGAGAAAATATATGCACACTCTTTTCATTCAAAAACGATTTAAAGGAAACCACTAATGGTCTATACCGGACTGAAAATTTGCACGTGCAAATGAATGTATCAAAATTAATATTATATTATTTTAGGTTTAGTGGCGATTAAGAATAGTTGGGCAATGTGGCATTTAAAAAAGGGACTATATGATATTTTATAGAGTAAGAATTAGTTTCATTTCATACGCAAAATATGCACCTCCGTCCGAAAACTTTTTATGTGAACGTACTCATACCAAAGCGTACATCAAACTTTTCTGTCAAAACAAACGTCTGACGCAAAGCGAAGTAAAACTTCTTTATGAATTGGTCATAAGTGTTTTAAGCTTTTTGTGTGTGCGGGTTAGCGACAATTCGTATGTATACGTATACGATCACGAACGCTCTTTTAGCACAATCGAAGGCTTTGCCCACTGGTCTTAAGCCATCTGCTTTATCTCAGATCAATCGCAAAAGTTAGAATATAGTTTGGGAGAATTCTTAATTACGTTGAAGCGATTTGGTTATCTTAGACTAATATTAACGAAAAATATGTTTGGTTGGGTGATGGCTGGTATCAAACTACTGTTTTTCAATAAGCTGTCGATGAACCGTAGTAATCGTTGTCAACACGATTCATCATTTCATTCAAATTTGATGCATGTAGCTACTTATGCCAAAAATGGCTTTGAAACCTGGGTAGGATACTCTGAGTACTCAAAAGGAGCAGGATCGACCCATTACGCTATAGCAATAGCAATTTATGCCTAATTTGTCAGTAAGTTAATCCGACTTGTCAATATCATCACTTCAACGCCAAGTATTGCTATCAATCACTATTCCAATCATCGCTATATTAGTTTCTCTATATACGTAATTATTTTAAGAATTTGGTTATACGGCCTCAAACTTTTATTTTTAGTTGGAGTCCATTTCGTACCTGTCTTTCTTCTTCCAACTTTTCCAATTTAGCGTTTTATTACTGGCGATCGCAATTTCTTTACGATTTATTTTTACTATTTCCAAGTCTAATTACACTCACATATATACATATACACGAAAGTTTTCTGCTACATGTGTGTTCACCTTTCGGTTGAGCAAATGTAAAACCATAAAGTTCCACGCGTTGCAGGCTGTGGCCAACCAATTTATTACGCGCCTCTACTCAAGTCTCAACAACAGTTCTAGCAATGGTCTAGGCTCTAAATGCACACATAAATATGTACAAATATAACTGTGTGTGTGTGTGAGTATAAAAACATTTTTATGGGACTTTTTCACAATTAGTCGACAGAAGAAACTATATTTGGCAACATTTGCCACACAGATGGGCGATATAAATGTAAATATATGTATGTATTTATATATATGTGTGAAAAACACTCAGTTCGAATAGTTGCCGCAGATGAGCTAAGATTTTTTAATGACCCCACAGATGCAAGAGATGATATGTGTGTATGTGGGCATATTTGAAAAACATATCTGTAGAAATGGTGTTGAAAATCGGCTCATTTGCTGAAAATTTAATGATTTCAAATGAGTGTCCGCCCTTAACGACTTGGGTTTGCGAACTGATACGGGCGAAACTTGAAGACTTGAAGAATGTACATATACTTAAATATGTATATATGTGTATGTGTGCATGCATTGTTGGCAATAAAACTTGCATATTTCTGCAAGCCTTACAAGACCAAAACCCATCAAATTAAATTAGTGAATGAGATTTTTTTAATAGGCTGCTTGTTGAGATAGTAAATTATTTAGGTACAACTTCCTAAATATATAAACTAATGCTTTTGTCTAATTTTGGTTGAAGCTCTTCGTTGCGCATACTTGGCAGAGTTGCAACATGAAATAATACTAATTAGCTTGTTAGAAAGAGTATTTTCAAAAATAAATTACAACATTTTCGAGTTATATATTTAGCGGATATATTTCGAACATTTTTGAAAATGTATAATATATTCATATACATTTTTTTTTTAAAATTTTACGATTTTTCTATCGCTTCATATTTCTAAAACGAGGTTACCCAGATCATCACATATATTTAATACCTTGTCTACAAAATCAAACAATCATTCCGTTATCACTCACCTGTAGCGTAAACGCGAACCGAGTTGAAATAAATCCGAATTATTCGATTGCGAATTCGGCAAAGGAGCGATGCGCACCATGCGAAAGAAAGCGTGATGCTCCACACAGCAGCGCCATAAGTGCTTGCAAGCCGTTTTTCGCGGCGTCTCAAAGCCGTAGGTGCTGAGCTCGTTCTGTGCGGCGGCGAAAATGAAGAGAGAATAAGGCATTTATTCCAAAATTTAATAAAGAATTTTTAAAAATGAAATATTTAAGCCATCATACTTGAATGAGATATGTAAATATGTTTGTTTGTTTGTATAAATGTACATATGTAAATTCTAATTTTATTAAGAATATACATGATAAGCTATTTTTAAAAATTGTATATAAAGATGAGCTGTCTTCAATTGGCCATTAGTCTGCTATCTTTGCGCGGTGTTTTCTTGCCAAAAAATACTACATGAAAAAGCAACAAAAAAGTTAGCGAATTGAATTTTCACAGGAGAGAATGTTGCTACCTTATTAAATTGGTATAACCGGTATCTTTAATGCTTCCAAGTTTTGTTTTGCATATCTCATACCAGATGTTTAGAACACAAAACTTATGCTGGAAACAGTCATCGATGCTAAAACCGCAGACCGAATCAGCTGATACGACCCATCTTATGAGAGCGTAATGTAAATGAACACTCTTCTACAGACCGTACGGTAGGATAACCGCGAAAATTAATTTTTTTTTCGCGTAGAAGGGAGTCAGCTGATTGCTCTCTTGCATTGTAAAAAATGAACTTGAATATATTTGAAATATTCTTAAACTAACTCCAAATCACAGTCGAAAACATTTATCTATAAATTGGTACATTATTTTGAATAGTTGGTAGGTTTTCTAGTAGTTCTTCTACCGCACGTCATTATCAGTCATCTAAGCATTTCCAGTGATCAATTTTAATGTAACTACGATGAAGCATTGAGAGAGGATTCTTGTAACTATTCTTCTATATATCTCATAATTCACATAGCTTTACGTCTTTTCATCATTAGTCCAGATATTACTTGCTTTGATGATGTTTAAATTTACTGAGCACGAAGCAAAAAGTTCGCAAATGGATTATCTGTAGCCAGTACAAGACTCGACAATAAATTTAAAAGAGAACTTGATAAACACATCAGATAAAATCTTTAACACATGCGTCGTTTCTTTCAAAATACCATAGCAATGCCCCCTTGCTATTTTTGATTGCAGGAAAATGTGGACAGTAAAGATATATGCCATTTCAGTATGAGACCAAGGGCCCAATAAACCCAAAGCATACACACAAACAGCAAAACGGGTGAGAAGTATAACAACATTTGAAGAGTTCATGAAAACATTGGTCCATACCGACCTACGGTATTATGAGTGCACAGATTTAGAAATAATGCTATTTATATAACCTTACTTCTCAAATAAAATGGAAAGCTTAAGACTAAAATACGCCAGTCCATTTTGTACTAAATAGAATGATGTCAGAAGATAATTACTTTTTATTATAACAGAACTGATGCATTTTCACTGGATAATAGAGCAAGCTTAAACTGTCTTGTTACTCCTATCCGGTGTACTACTACCGGTACCGGTGGAGTACAATATGTCTACCTATTGTGGTAAAGGAGTTATATTCACTTGCAAGTACAACTAGAAACTTTTTAGTGAATAATATATTTTTGTTATCCCAAATGAATGACTTGCGTTTAGGTTGCAATTCGATTGGAGCAAAATTGACGAAGATAGGAATATTTTTACGTCTTGGTGTTATGAACTTTTTACATTTTTAAAACTATAAGACCCATGTTGATGTTTTCAAAGCCGGTGCCCTTCATAACTTCAAAACTATCAATCGTTTTGATATTTTTGTTAATAATATTCATTTTAAATATAATAACAAATTATTCAAGTTTTTCGCAAACAATTGCTTCTTTTCCTTTAAAGTTTTCAGAAAAAGTGAAAAATATAAATTTCAAAAACCACCTCAAAGTTAAAGCGATAATATGATAATATAGACAGATTATTCTGCACCGAGACGATCCAGATTAATTGCTGCCATAGCCGTATTTCTTAATATTTTTCTATGAAAATTTATCAGAATATTTTTCAAGTGTCATACCAAAATGCACCATTGTTTTTTAAAATTAGATTCTAACTGTTTCATAAAAAAATATCAGAAAAATGGGCTTTATTTGACACGACTTAACCCTACTCCCCTTAACCGCAATCGATTGTACGATGAGATATTTAAATATATATACGAATATGCACACTACCGATCTAAACAGCCAATTATATCACGTACTTCGAGTAGCAAAAATATTAACTGTTAGCTTCGGCTGTTATTAGAAAGTACAAAGTGTTTATATATACATCGAACTAATAACAGAATTCTTTATGCACTAACAACTTTCAAGTCCTTCACACTATTCACATGAATACTTTAACTCAATAAATTCACGACAGTCAAATGTGTTTGTATGTTTGTTGGAATGCATTACTGGCTTTTCTTCAACTTTTTAGCAGCGCTTCCATATAAATGGCTTTGCCAACAACAAATCCCATTCAACAAATATTTCACAAGTGCTTTTGGCTTATAAGAAAGCAACAAAGTCAAGCGGAACCTCAAGTTGTGTGCAGGCGGCACTATGGTTGTATGTGTGTGCTCCACTGTATAGTTGTTGGTGTGCTTTACGCAGCCTTCGAACGCACCTTTAGTGCAAACAGTACGAGCACTTGAGGCTTTCAGCGCATTATGTTGAGCGTAAAATGCCTTGACACTTCGACAAAGAAGGCGACGCATTTAATATGGTGTTTATATAGCACCAGCATGTTTCTATGTATGTGTGTATGTGAGCAAATATAAATAATGTTTTATCAAGAATAAAGTAAGTTCTCGCAAAGAGCGCTGAGTGCTTCGCCGAGTGTCGTAAAGAAATTGAATTTATAAGTGGAACTAGTACTTTAAGTAATATGTATATGTATGTGTGTGAGATAGAGTGTGTATGTATGTGCGCGAATGCAAATAGTTATGAATAGTGCGCGAACGCTGGCGTATTTACATTTTTATCGCTTATCCGCAGCATAAAATAGCGTCCTTTGTAGTAAACTTTGGCAATGCGCGGCCAATAGTAATGAGCCACTGTCGTCTTATTCCGCAGCACCACAATGCCACTTGGCGTCAGACCCAGAAAGTACTCGACGCTGTCCTCGCCCTGCGGAAAGAAGAGAGGAAGAGAATGTAGTTGAATAATATAGCACAAAATAAGTGTAAGAATTTACAATACAATTACAACAACTACAGCAGATTACTTGACTGGTAAAATTACTTTAGTACAACAACAATAAAAACTACATTAAACAAAAAAAAGTAACTTCGGCTATGATATCCTTCACAAATAAAATAGTTTCCATACAAGAAATTGATGTTGGACGGTAAGTTTGCAGGGTAACTATATATTATAGTAGTCCGATCTGAATATTCGGAGATTATAGGTTGCTTTGAGCAATAATTCGTACAAGGGTCTGATTTTTGATTGACCAAAACCATAAAGGCCTGATCTGAACGATTTTTTTCGGTGATTGTGGCCTTATTTTGGGCAATAATCCGTGCAAAATTTCATATCTTGTCATATAAAAAAGTGTTCCATACAACAACTTAGTTTTGATCAGACGGTTTGCATGCCAGCGATACGCTAAAGCAGACCGATACCATGTAATTCCGACAAATGAGCAGCTTCTTCTTGTGAAACGAACGTGTGCCAAAGTTCAAATCAATATCTCAAAACCTTAAGGACTAGTTCGTTTTTATACAGACAGACAGACAGACAGACGGACATGCCCAAATCAATTCAGCTGATCACGCTGATCATTTATATATTATATATACAAATGCATTCTGTGTGCTACAAGCTTCGCGACGAACTTAATACACCCTGTTCAGAGTTTAAAAAAATTAAACTTTCTTTCAATAAAAATGAGCGCATCCTGTAAAAGTTTTGAATCTATATCGCCCGAGCGTGACATGTTTTTTAAAGAGGTTATTAAAATTCAATAAAGTTATTAGCCGTATCGTGCACGCTCCGTCTTCTGCAGCTTCTACTTGCTACACGCTATTAGCCGTGCGACAAGTGTGCGGGGTGGTGCCTACAGCCTGCTGACGGTCATTGTCAGTAGATTTTACGTCAAAGTTTTTCTGCTCTCCGCATCAACTATGAGTTTATACATAATTCTCTTTTCATGTTGCCTCTTTGTTGTGCAGTTTGACCTTTCAGCAGCTCGACATGAGTGCCACAGCTTCTGCTGCCTCCACTGCCAAGTATTTATGGATGCCGGTGATATTTTCACGTGAATTTACTTCAAAATGCTTTTGGGTACTTTCTGCTTATTTCAGACCGGTTTGAGTTTTCTTGCTTTTGTTTTGTAAATGTGTTACTGTACGGATACTTTTTTGGGTAGTTTGTTTCTGGGGCAGCAAATATATGTTTGTCATTTGTTCATTTCACAAGTAAAATACGTGTTAAAGAGTTTGACTTGTTTAATAGTTCCATTTACTCCGGTTTCAGACTAAGAGACTACTGGATCGTCTTTGAAAAAAGGTTTGTGACCAATAAATCAGCAGTAGATTATTATTCCATAGTAGAACCTCCAAAGAGATGAGCATTCTTCTAAGAGCTAAACAGCAATACTTTGTTTGAGTTACACCATTGAAAGAGTGTTTGGAAATATAAACTATTTAATTAAGCTTATTATAGTGGAATCGCTAGAAACTGGTGACTTGGCTTGAGTTCCAAGCTCTAATAATCGGTTCTCTTCCGTCCAGCATTAGACCACTGCGCTTCGGACTAGCTCGGCGACAGCTAATTAACAACCAGTACTTGTGTAGCTGTAAGATCTTTTAGGCTCAAAGTAGAGCCGGAAACTATCCAATACGATGAAAATTCCTAACGACCGCCAATTTTCAAGGTTGTCTCGGGGAAGGTAAGTCAGAAACATTTCCGCGTCTTTTACCCGACTGTTCAGCTATATTCATTTTGAAATATCTCGGCCGTAATACTTTCAGAGAACCGGGCAATTTGATTAAAATCGGTCAAGTTCAGTTCGATTTTAAATTTGATAGTTTGGTATGTTTGCTATTATATCTTATTTATTAAGACCTACATTAAAACGTCAGGCCGACAGCTTTGGCAGACAGTTCTAAAGGTTCAAGAAAATCAGAATCATCATCATCAACACACTCTGAGAGAAATTTGAAGTATTTTTTAGAGGTGTCGAATTTCCTGTCAAGCCAAGCAAAAGTGTTCGACATTTATTTTCAGTAGAATTTCCACGAAAATCACCGTTAATACTTTATTAAAACTGAAAAAATCTAGGAAATGTAATTCGACAGTGTTCGACCATTTTTGCAAGGTTCTTAAAGTCAATTGTCTACGCTATTTCACCAGTTTCGAACTATGCTGGCAAACGTTACTCAAGGTATCTAACCTCTTTATTGTTCTATTAGATCAGACCTAATATAAAGAAGTCCGTTTTATTTGCAATAAATTGAAGGTTTTGTGCAGAAAATTGAGAACGATACTATTTAGCTGAAATATGCACCGTATTATATTGACAAAAACAGTCCCAGTTGAGAGTGATTTTCACAAGATTCTCTTGAGGCAAATTTTCCATCAGCAAAATCATTTGAAATAGACCGAAATAGATAAAAAGGTAGGTTCAGAAAGTTCTGGAATATGAGGTGGATGTATGTCAACCTCTTAACCAAGCTTCCAGACCTTCTGAAAATCGCTAGCGATGAGTTTGATCTCTCATTGTCCTGATAGAACACAATTCCTCTCACCAAGTAGCGTTACTCAATTGCGCTTATATAACGATTCTCGAAGCTGTATATTGGAAAAATAATAGATTTCTTTTTACTATATCTTATTGTACAAATATTATTGATTGATTAGTTTTTCCGAGTTTATACTATTTACAATCTTTTTATATGCTTTCAGATTTTCAGAAATGCCAACCATGTAATATATCTTTTATTCAGGCAGAATCAGGATTGAAAAAACCTTACCAATAACAAAAGTGGGTGGATGAACTTTGCATAAAATATCTATCTAAATCAGTTTAAAGAATCGTAAAAGATAAATTCGCTTCGTAGATCAATAAATAAATGCTAGCCTCGACCATAGAGAAAGAAACTAATTACTTGAGATCGAACTCCAAGAAGATTGCGGGTCAGTCGGGTCTGTGTAAATATAAAGGATGAAGATTTACCCAGCCGAGAATATGATTTCGTTAGAGTTCCTCACAATAAATTTGTGAATGCTTTCCACTACAACAATAATAGCTTATTATGCAAACGTCTGGTTTTGCGACATGAGGTCGGAAACTCTTTAGCATCTGATTCCAAATTGCATAGTATAATATATCCAAATCGGAATCACGTCGCCTAAATAGCACCCAGAAGCTCCTGTAATTTATCAGAGTGCTGGGACTATGCGGGTCTGTGTGACAAAGGAAAGGATTAAATATATCTAAGGACGCAGTGCAAACCTCAATTTATTTCTATCTATCTATCTAAAACAATAACAACATTCGCAGGGCTAGGTCTAAAAGAACTCGGATTAATTTTAATTTTTTTTTAAATTATTAAATATTTTTTCTTGTTTTTTCGGACAACACTAAGTAAACTTTTCCACTTATCTGATGAACTTGCTGTTTCAAAAAATCTCTCTTAGCTAAACACAGGTTTTTAAAGATCTTTTTTTATAAACATTCTTCGTCAATTCTTTATTTTAACCCCAGAACGCAACACATCGAAACCACTAAAGGCCAACACCGACTGTTACCTTAACACACCACCGCTCGTAAACCACATGGTCAGGTGGTTGATGCGAGTTAATAAATTTCCATTTGAGAAATGTATTTAAGTCAAAAGAAGATTACGGACGCCATAAAAATTTCATTCGCTTATTTATTAAAACACTAAAATAATAAAAGTCGATGGCAATACAGAGATAACGGCATGCTAATATAGGAAGAAGGGGCAAGAGAACGATCCACGCAAGCACGGAAGTAAAAAACTGACAAAGTGTCAACAGTAAGGAAGAGCGAGGGGATATGGGGTGCGCCAATTAGGGTTCATACAATGTTGTGTGAACATTTCCGAGTTCAAAATGCTGGGCTGTGCCGGTCGCGGCGCTTTCGGCTATAACTCGCTTTTAAAGCCACCGAAATAACCAATAAAAATGCCAACATACACACGAGCACATACACATTGTTTGTTGGTTTTATTCGCCAGCGAACAGGCGTGTGCGCATCGGACGGTGATTTATTTCGTCGTGATATCAAAAATACCATAAAAAATGTAAATGAAGCGAAAATTTACGCAGCAACATAAAAACGAAAACTAAAAGGACAATGTAAAAATGCCAAATGTTTGTAAGCATGTATATGTCTGTGTATATGTGATTATAGTGAGTAGCAGACCCATCAAACATTGTTGCTGTAGTTTTCATGTGGCTCGTGCTTCACTTGTTACCGGTTAACTGTATAATGACCGAAAATGAAATTGGCGCAAGGATAATAAAATAACGGAAGGAACCAAGACGAATTGGTCAAAGAGGCGGCCGATGACCGGCTACGATGGCGACAATGAGTGCCAAAATAGTGACAAATGACTGAGTGTGGAAATGAACGAGCGAATGAATGAAAGAACGAATGTATAATTTAATGGTCAGCCATATGGCGACTGAAAGCTTTAACTTATCTCAGAGTTCGCTCGTTGGGGTAAGAATTAAATATTGTGAGTGTCGCGTTGTTTTATTATGTGATATTTATGTTTGAGCCACCGTTGGTGATAAGAATGTGCTCTGGAATGCGAGTATGGTATGTGGTGTGGTGGCGGGTCAAGGATTTTCTCAAAATTATACAATAGCCTTCCAGTAAAATAAGGCAATGCGCGAAAATGTAGGCAACATCTACTTGGGTTAGTAGACGTTGTCGTGCACACCGTTGTTATTTGGCTAGGGAGGACCATCAGACATAAGGAATTTGCAGTAGGACTTTCTTCGATATTGAGGGGGACATTCAATAACGGACTGTCAGAAGCGGTTATTAGAGTCTAAGGTGGTTTGCGGTTGAAATTAGAAGAATTGGTGGAGGGACCCTCTATCAACTCCAAGTACACGCTTCCTGATCACTGCAGCGTCTTCAAGTAGAATCAGCAATCACTAAAATAGCAGTAGATAGACGCTCGGGTAGGTAGGAGATCTCTTGGCTTCTTCTTGCGGTTCTCTAGGGTTGGGCCCCAGATGAGCTTGTCAAACTCTGCTCATCTATTAGCAGCTGTGCAGTTACGGGGTCCTTCTCTGGCTATACAGTCTAGTTAGCTCTTCACCCTCCCACCAAGTCCCACTTTTGCCAGACCAAGGCTAAATTACATCGGCTCTCACCCCTGTAGTCATCCTTATGAAATAGTAGAAATAAGAGAATGCATCTAAACATATTTGTGGTAGGTTCAAACACTTTATAGAGAGTTAAATCAAAATACATTGGTTTTTATCTTCACAAAAGACTGTATATACAAGTACATGGCCCACTCCCAATCTTGGGCTATTAGCCATCTAACCGACATGTATATAATCTCTTACTTTGTTTTTATCTTCAGTATTCGTCTTATATGTCTCTTATAACTCTTAAGTACATACGACTATCTAAAAATATGCTGAACATTTTTTTATGTCAAGCCTTTAAAAGCTCTCCATAGATGATCTTTAATTTCATCCGCCAATAGACAACCTATTTTATTTATTTTCAAAAATTTGTTTGCCTTTGCTTCTGCAATACTAAATGTTTTAATTACGCCCCTAATATATGTGTTCATTAATTTTTGCGCTTTGATCTCCCCAGATAATCAATAACATAAAACATCAAACTTCAACATCAAAGCAACGTTTTCCTAAACCCGCTTATTAAACGATTCGCCTTGTAATTTTTCATTTTTTTTTTTGTCGCTCTTCTATTCAATTAGCATTTCCATTCACTTACCAACACCGGATGCAAATCCACGCCGTACATATCGTGCCATTTAACTTTGTCTAAATAATTTAGCTCCGCTGTCGCTGGTGACATGCCCATTAATTGCTGATGAAGTTCGGCGACACGTGTTTCCAGTTCACTGCTCTGATTCGGCAGTAAACGAAACTCGGACACATAGCCTTTGGAGTGACGGCGCTGATCATAATCCCCCAATTCGGCTGGAAAATGAGAGAGAATTAAAAAAATTAAATAACATAGTCAAAGAGCATAAATTTAGATACAAATTGTAATCTTATGGTAAATGTATATTTGTATATGAATATTTTCCAAATACAACAATAGTTATTAAAATAATCTTTAGAATTAAATACCTAAATATTATATTTATAAAAGGCATATACTATACAATAAATTTTTGAATAAATAAGGGTTTTTGCAAGTATCATATCAGTTCTCATTTTCGAGTCTCAGCAGAGAGAAATCTTACCAGGATGGCATCAGCAAGTGAGAAGCCTTTACTGGTGGTATAAGGCAACTATACTATATCAGAGTCTAATCTAGTTGCACCTTGTGAGCTCTAGCTCCAAATTTTCATGAACCTATAATACTCTTCACAGGTGTATTGGGTGCATTTATATGCTACAGTGGTCTGATCTTAACAATAGTTGCCGTATATACAGGGACCGACAGACGAACGTGCCTCAAACGACTCAACTCGTCACGCTAATCATTTATTTATATATTTTATAGGGTCTCCAACGATTCCTTTTAGGTGTCAAATTTAATCTATAAACTAGTCTAAGCGGCAGACATATAAAGAAACAACACCAAAATTTATGTTTCTTAGAGTATTGATTTTAAAATAGAGATTTACTAAAAAAAGCTCAATAAATTAGAAGACTGACCGTTTTGACTAGATCTAATGCTTTTAGAAGAGCTGGGTGTTAATTTTGCTGATTCAAATCAACTTTCAAATTGTCCCAGCATAATTCTTCGACAAATAGTTAATTTCAAACAAAATATCATGTGCATTATCATCAGACAATATCTGAGTACAAACAAGTCTGGTACCATAGACTGACAATAGAATTTCGTCGATAAATCGAAGATGCAAATTATAGTAGGTGAAGCCACGTCGATTTTAGGTCTAGGCGAACTCTTGTGAATACAAAGAGACAAATTGAGAGGAATGTCTACAGCAATTTTGAGACTGGATGTAAGAAATCCATTTTAGCTAATCATACTAAAATTTCACTCAATTCTCCTTGTTCTAATATTACGAGTATATATATAATATATTTTAAATATATATATTTACCATACTTTAAATCTAATCTTTAAATACTTTTACAGCAACCATTATCATAATTTTTTGATACCTAAAAATTATTATATATTAGTTTCTAACGCATTAAAGTTTAAATATATACATAGATAGTATTCAAGTGGAATATATTGTATAATTCGATCTGTGTGACTAAAAATACCCATAATATGTTAAATGAGGCTCATAATAATATCAACTCAAGCGCCTCAATGTGCTGAAAATGTGGAAGACTGCCGGATTCAATGGCTATTTGTCGTTGCTGGCGCTCTGATTGCCTCTTTGCGCCTCATTAAGTAATTTTAATAAAACACAATAAATTTCTCAAGCCAATTGCCACTTATTACTATTTTGCGTAATGAGCTTGAAAGAAATTTTATGCTAAATGAGGTAAGCATTTAATTATAGACGTTATTCGCATACAATTTTGTACATAATCGTAATATTGGCAGCAGAAGAAATATAAGTAAGTTAGGTATGAAGAGAAAATTATTATTTTAATATGAGCTTCAAGATTTCACATCCTTGAAAATTGTCATTTAGAATATATTTTTAACATATAAGTATTGAATAATGTGAAAAATGGCAAAGTTTGCAATAGAGTGAAAAGGAAGAATGAGAAAAAAGGATACAGTTATTCTAATCAGGTCTGTAGATATATTCTGAAAGCGATATTAAAAAAATGTACTCGTATGTACTCAGAAGCGAAAAAATTTAAGATCTTACAAATGTCTATTTTATATTTATAAGATATATAATATTCTATTTTATATTGTGTTTTCTTCAAATGAAGAAAAACGGTCGGATTTATTGTTCTCTTTTTTGTGAGACATTTAGCGCCATAGAGAGGAGATTTGCTCACGCTCTTAATTTTGCTTGGGACCTCCTATTTGTTTTCAAGGTAAACAACTATGTATTTTGAAAAAAATTTAATAGAAAAGTGAATATTAACCCTAAAATGTCTTTGGAATATGAGAATAAAAAACAAGTTTGATTGTTCGCTCTTCACTACAAGCACGTATGTTAAGTTCTATGGTTGATACCCAAGATGGAGATCTATAAAGGAAATCTATTTTTTTAAGGTTAAAATAAACAAAAAAATTTTTAGTTTTTATGAAAATATGAATTTTGAGATTTTGATTTTTTATGAAAATATATAATCTTTTTTTCTGCTTTTGAAGCTAGTCTACTCAACTGAAATATTTGCCATTACATTTTTAAATTAGGTGTACTGAGTTATAGTATGTTAGTTACCAAACATTAAACGATGAGTGTGGTTAAAACCGCATCTTCGGAAAAAATTATATTTCTAACAATAATAAATCAATTTTCGAAAATTAGTATTGAAATGGGAAACTCTTTCACAATTTTTTTGAAATTAATAAGTTTTTTTTCGAATTAATACCTTACATTTAATTAAAATCTTTGTGAATTAATTTCAAAACAACTTTACTTACATTGCACAACAAATGCACCCAACTCTGCAGCCAACTCGAAAGCGACCGGTAATCTGCCTTGTAAGACATCTTGCTTCACTTGTAGAAACAGTTGATACCTGAAAGTGAGAGAAATTATTGTATTTAAATTCGAAAAACTTAGTCCTAAAAATAAATGCTCTAAAGGGGTCATATCTACTTGCAAGTCAAAAAACGATTTCTTTGTGATTTTTTATGAAGATGCATTTTATTTTTTTAAAAAAATTTAATTGAATTGTTGATTCATCTCAAAAATTTTGGATTTCCTTGATCCAGCAGCCGAACTTTAGGATAACCTTCGAAAAACGGCGGCGAGGAAGATTTTTCGCTTAAAATTATCTCAAGTCCAAACGAAAAACAAGTTATTATTACAATAGATGACTACAGGTAATGATAAAGGTACCAGTTAGAGTTTTGATTATTGAAAAAAAATTGGTGGTTCCCAAAAAAAAAATGTTGTTTTGTCTGAAAGAATTTGATTTCAGAGTGGCTGAAAAATTTTGAATTATTATCCCTTTACAGATAAATATATCTTAGAAGGTGTGAAAATTTAAGGCAATCGTTTGGAAAAAATTTCACCACCGACTTTGAAAACACTGTTTACAGTTCTGGTAGCGGATAACTCAAAAAATTCTTACAAATACCCTCCTATCTCCAAAACTATTTGCCGAATCAACTTTAAAATTAAATCAGAGAATATTTTAAAGTAAATGTACATTTTATATTTATGCTAAAATAATATAATTTATTTAATTTTAAAGAGGTTATAGTCGCTTAAATAACAGTACTTGCTAGTCTTAGTATTAATGTTTTTTCATCGAAATCCATTAGCCAATCCCCTGTTTATGAGTACAATTTTAATATTTCGCCAATTCAATAAATCGTTTAATGCGTTAAAATTAGTCTTCCTTTTGCAAATTAAATTATTAGCGTTTAAAAAAAAAAACTCAACCTTAAACTGCTGCATAAATCTCGCCTAACCTCGCCATCATCGAGTGAAAATTAAACAGCTAAGTGCACACGAATGCCAAGCTTGTTGCTGGATTTTAGGCATATTGTTGTTACTATATTTGTATGCCGACAATTAAAGTGCTGTGCCAACACTCCAAGGCTGCATAACGGCATACTCGCAGCGCATAATCAATTCGCCATCCAGCCGAATGGCAATAAACGTTAATAGGCCTAAAACAAAGCACACACGCTCACATACATATGTACATATAGAAGCGCATGTTTGACTGTTAAGAGCATTAACACACACACACATTTCCGCACAAAGATACATAGTAGATTTATTCATCTGCAATATTATATGTTGCTTTAACCCACGCCCAGCGGCATAAAGCTCGAGTTAGTCGGCTATTTGTGACTGATATTCAACAGCGGAAATACTTAATTGTAAGCGTGTGGCTGCGTGTGCTTACAATACACTTCAACTGACAGGATATAACAATATTATGCGTAAATAAATGCATTTGTTGTATAGACTTAACGAATTTTAGATGCAGCGGGAGAGCCAGCGACGCTTGATTGGATTGTATGTAAGAATGTATGCGTGTATATGTGTGTGTGTGCGTATGTCAGAACTTGCAGCAGACAGCAAATATTGTATTGCCAGTCGATATATTGTACCCACAAGTGCTTGGCAAACTACTACAGCTAAACAAATACACACATACAGTGGCATAGTAGTACATACACTTACATATACACATATGCGATATACATTAGAGTGTGCAAAAAACACTTTTATATTTTTCCTTAAATACTGTAAAAATATCGTACAAAATCACAAAAAATAACAAGAAAATATGTTAACTTCTCTTGCACCGAAGCTATAATACCCTTTAAAAATACAAAATATTCCATACAAAAACTTGATTTTGATCGTTCAGTTTGTATGGCAGCTATATGCAATTGTAGTTCGATATCGGCGGTTCTAACAAATAAGCAGCTTCTTTATTCTATCCCAAAAACTGAAGGATTAGCTCGCATATATACATACATACTGACATGGCTAAATCAACACAGCTCTTCATGCTGATCATTTCAGTAAATAATTTGTAAGGTCTCTGACGCTTGCTTATGGGTACTACAAACTCTGTGACAAGCTTAGGGTATATTAAGTTCAGGGTATAAAAAGAAGAACAATTAATTAAAAATTTAATTAAAAATTTAATATAATTAATTTTATGATATTATAAATCGTTCAATTTCCTAAAAAAAAAAGTTTTCATTTTCGCTTTACACTAGTTTTTCACGGCAACTAAGAAACAAAAAAAAATTTTTTTTTTGGCCCACCCTAATATACATATACACTTAAAAAAATTATTTTATTTTAATGCTTAATCAGGTGGCTACCATTTGCTTATGCACATAAGCAAACACGCTTTACATACCTAGCAGCATACTGAAGTACTTATGTAATTGCGAAAGTTGCTTTGTATTATTGTTTGCTTAGTTGTTGTTGCAGTTGACCGTTTTCAATGACTCGATCGATTATGTCTCGAAAATATTTGCCAACAAACACACTTCTTTGTTGCCTCAAACGGAAATATTTGTTTAATTGCGAATTTCCTAAGACTCATTAGGGCGATTAAAATTTGTTGTAACGGATCTTTAAAATATTTTCGCAGCTTCTACAATATGTCGATAATCAGACTGAATAGCAAGAATAAATATTATATTTTGTCTTGTATTTAAACTACTCAAAAATATGCTTATGTAAGTGTTCATGCGCACTTATAAGCCTTTGACAAAAATATTTACTTGCCTTAAACGAATTTTGCACATTAGCAATGACTATTATGCATTTCTTTGAAGTAGACAAATATTTGCTGGTTGCAACATTATTTTCCATCAAAGTGGAAATACTTTTTGATATTTATTTGTGGTTTTAAATTTTGAAATTTCTATGCTAATTGCTTCTAAGAAGTAAATAAATTATTTTACTTATGGTATTTAGGAACATTTTGTGATGTTTCTGCATTTAAGCATTTTCGAGTGTTAGTTTAGGTTGAAATGAATATATATATGCATATAATAAATGTAGATTTCTATACTTGTTTTGGGAGATATAGATGTCCAATATAGTTAAACAAATGTATATTTATTCTTACGCTTTAAACACTCAACTCAACGCTTATATATTTAATAATTCGAGTAAACCGGATAAATTCTAGTTTCAATTTCTAAAAGAGTATTTAAGGGTATTACAATTAGTTGATTTTAGATCGATATCTCTAAAACTGAGGGAACTAGTTCGCGTATATATAGACAGTTGGACAGACAGACATACATGGCTAAATCAACTCAGCTCGTCATACTGAATATTTATATATACTTTATAGGGTCTCCGTTAGGTACAGCAGCATGTCGTGGAAATGGGTTTACTTTGTTGACGTAAGTTATAAGTTATTTGCAGTCTCCTCAGTCAACAAATTTATTGTTCAATAATGCTTCTATAAGTGTTGAACTAAATTTATGGGTTTTCAAATAACAGAAAGGAATTTTATTCTTGTTCTTGTGTTAGCGCTGCGAAGACGAATAAAAAACATGTTTGCCTTAGTTGAAAAGAAAATTGTTTCAAGTTAAACATGCTGGAACTAATAAGACACGGATGAAGAAATGGCACCAGATGGTACGCCGGAATATGAAGAGTTTAATATACCGCTTCATGTCTTCTCCAAATTTATTACAGAGCCAGTCTTGTTGTTCTGTAGTAGTAACCGCTAAGAAAAATTGACCCCTTCAAACGCCTTCTGTCAGGAATGTCTTAAAGCAGCAGGAAGGAGGACGTCTTATTATTAGCTAATTATAACTGGCATCTGTCATAATACCCATTTGAATTGGAGATAGATTTTGAGATATTCATTATCAGACATAATTTCCCGAGAGTCAATCAATATCTTCACTAACTCTCTTCTTATGAACATTACCGCGAATCACACATAGGAAACCTAATGGTCTCTGCAAATCACGACAGCTAGTAACATTTACTCAACTGTTCTCTGGATATTTCAGAATTTTATCCGATATACTAAACATATGTATGTACTACATGCAACAGATCGCTTAAGACACACACCATATCTCATTTTGTGTATCTAATATAATTTTTCTTATGCTCCTACTCGTCCATTTTTAAAACTACTGTTCGCTGATATTGCACATTGAAAAATAATCCTTGAACAGGGTCAGAGTAAACACTATAGTTATAATTGAGGTGGGAAAAATGCATAAGTTGGTGTTGTTTTAAGAATTCAACTCTGGGAAGCAGTAGTTTTGTTTTATGAAGTTTGTTACCCGATTTGGTATGATTTGGTTTGATTCCAAATCTGAAGTCAGTTTTTCTCTGGAAGCCCTGGTTTTCGAAATATGAATAAATTACATTCAATCCATGCGGATTTCTCCTTATCTCAATAAGTAAAATGCTGATCATTTATTAGTTCCCTGATTTGAGGACCGTCAAAAATACTAGCTTTAGTTTTTTCTGTGCTCAATTTCGGAAACACTTTGCTGATATATAATATTTAAAACATTCCCCATCCTTATTTAGAGCTTTTACAAACTGTGTTATCAGAGCTAACTTTTTTAGTTACTTAGAATCAGACGCATTTAAACGGCATTACCTAAATATATAGTCCCCACAAACAGCACAAAAACTATTCAGATCATTTAAACAAGTTCTTCTTAATGTAGAGATAGTGGTTTATTTCTGAAATTTAGTAATTTTTGCCCTAAAAATTAATTCAAGTAAGCCGAGTAATGATATTTCAAGTATAATATATAAGTATAAGTACCTATATCACTAAAACTAGAGCTGCTAGAAATAAACTAAATGTTGAATTCAGCGATGTTTAATTAGTAAGAAACAGTACATCACAAAACAAAAAAGTTTAATTTTGTTTATCAATGTAATATATGGACGATTGTGTTAGATTGTGACAGGCTCAAATCGTTTTGTCAAATTGCTATTGTCTGTTTGATCCAAACATAAAAGTTATTGGTATACCAATAGTTAACTTAACTTAGGCGATTGGAAGTTCTGTGAGTGTGAAGACAGTATAATCCATTGGTTACATTTTCTTATTACTTCTGAGCTTCGAAGAACTATATACTATGTTCTTCGAGGGATTCCTCATAAAGGTTGCACTTTTCTTTCTAGATATAAAAAACAAGAACTAATACTCTTAAGTAACAACTTACCTCGTAATTTCCTCGAGTAACTTACACGGATCAGCCGCATAGAACTTAACACCAAAATACAAATCATAGGGATCTGACTTGGGTTTGAGTTGTCGTGATATACGAGACGCTGGATCCAGCCAGTGCTAAAAAGAGACAAAGTGAGATAAATTATAATCGTATCAAGTGGGCAATAGATAGTCCTAAACTAAATTGTAAGAAGGTAGCACTGTCTAGAACAGTTATCTATGACCTTGGGAAAGTCAGTTGCAACTTTTGTCTGCAAACAATGATTAAGAAGTAAAACAGTCTTACACTTGTACATATCTACACCGACTAATGAAATATTTATGTGTAAGCACATGGCACAATACACACCGGTAATCATAAATTACTTTGTTAGTGAGCTTATGCCCACATTTTTCTTCATTTTATTGGAGCGAAACTATATATAATAGGGACTGCATAATATGAGCATAAAGGCGGGTTAACTCGAAAAAGGTTGCCGCTAGCGAAATGAATAGTGAAAAGCACCGCTAAACATGCGACTTGTAAGGAACCGTTGATTCAAAGTCACAACGGAGGCAGTAAACTTTGAATACATATTTATATAAAATATTGAATATATATGTGTGTGTGGCAGGTGGCAGCTTGTAAAAACAAACTATGCGCGTGCAGCTGATTTGTGTGCGAAGGTAAGTGAAAAGCCTTCAAAGAAAATACTTCCTGGCTGCCAATACAACTCATACGGCGAAGAAGTTCACTGCCGTCTGACAAACTTTTTGCGCCGCCTCTGCCGCTGCTGCTGCCATTGTGTGACAAGCTGCCATCAGCAGGGCTGAAACGGTAACTCAAGCGAAGTTACCGCATATGTATGTGTGTGTGTTTGTATAAGAGCTATGTATGTGACCCCCCACAGACAGCGAGAGTATTCGCAAATTATTCAGTTCCTCTGCCTGTATGTGGCACATTTTCAAGGTCTCGCTGACTGCCTTAATGTCTAGCAGAGTTGTTAATATACCGGTGTATAAGTGTGGTAAAAGGGAAATGGAAAGTGAAATTTATTTCATAATTTATCGCCAAGGGCAAACAGGTAAAAGTAATTCTCTATATCACACGCAAGGAAATATACTGTAAATATATAAGTTTATATGTATATGTGTGCATATATGTATATGTATTTATGTAAGAATTTTGCTTTCATTTTAGTGACAGCTTTTCACTTTGTACGATCATTACGGTTCAATGAATGCGCATGAAAACGAGGCTCAAACTGAATTACGGCCTAAACGGCAAGTAGGCAGTGCGACTCCCAAATGTATGCTACAATATATGAGAACTTGTGAGTTTCAGATAACGCATAACTTTTTACTTACAAACATTTTTTTCTAAATACAGATTTACGTCTATATATATGTATGTATATCTATCTTCGCACTTGCACTTACCGTCTGATTCTCCTCGTCAATATAGCGTATGCCGAAATATGAAGTTTCGATTAAATTAAGTCTGGCGAAAACAACATCCAACAATGCTTGGCCCGGTAAATCATCCTGCAAATAAACAAGCAGAAATATTATGTAAACAACTTAACATATATATATACATATATATAAATATATAGGTATGTATGTGTATAATGTAATTTTATTGAGGCAAGAAAGAAGAAAAGTTAAAGAATATGAAATATTTTCGTAAAAGGTTCTCCCTTTCACATCGACTACTCTACAGTGCTGCGAGCTCAAGGCAATGCCCGCCGTTAATCAGTTGGAAAATTAGTTTTTTTTTTGGGGGTTCTTGTGAAATTTGTAGCAGTGGAAATTTACGATTTGACAAGCTAATTTTTTTGTACCAGCAATGCATTAAATATGTTGAGTATGAGTGAATAGCTTATTATTTTCGATTAAAAGAAAGAAAATATTAATTATTTATATTTTATAATTATTATAAATAATAATATATAAATTAGAAAATATACAAAATGTGTATACATAACTTTATTAGTTATATAGAAAATATTATTTTAGGTTAAATAATAACCGAGTCAATTTGAAACAAGAAAAAACGTTAACTTCGGTTGCACCGAAGCTATAATACCATTTACATATACAAAGGCCCCTTACATGAACTTTATTCCGAACGTTCAATTTGTATTTCAGCTATATGATATAGTGATCTGATCTGATCAATTTCTGCGGAGAATAATTTGTTGCCTTAAGCAAGAACTCGTGTCAAATTTCGTGAAGATACATCGTCAAATAAAAAAATTTTCCATGCAAGCACTTTACTCCGATCGTTCAGTTAATATCGCAGCTACATGTTATAGTCATCCGCTCTATACAATTTCTTCGGCGATTAGATTATTGCCTTAAATAATAATCCGTGCCAAATTTCGTGAAGATTCCTCTTCAAATGAAAGAGTTTTCCATACAAGCACTTGATTCCGATTGTTCAATTTGTATGGCAGCTATATGCTCTATGGTCCGATATCGGTCGTTCCGACAAATTAGCAGCTTCTTTGTGAGAAAAGGACAGGTGCAAAATTTCAGATCGATAGCTTAAAAACTGAGGGACTAGTTTGTATATATACAGACAGACGGACAGACGGACAGACAGACAGACGGACATGGCTAAATCAACTCAACTCTACATGCTGATCATTTATATATAGATTTTATAGGGTCTGCGACGTTTCCTTCTGGGTGTTACAAACTTCGTCGCAAACTTAATATAACCTGTTCAGGGTATAATTAGTATAGCTCACACTTAGCTTAAAGAACTAATTTTTAACGTGACCTCCAAAGTGCTGACATTATCATATTTTTTAATTTCCCAATAGTTCCAGTTGTGTCCAGTTTGGCTACGTAGACAAGCGAAAGTCCAAGATGCGAGATAATGCGCTCGCCAAAAGTTTAATTCAATAAAGTAATTGTTTTGTTGGCTGTATAGCATGTAGCGTCGTCTTGTTAAAACCATAGATTGTCCACATCAACATCCTATAATTCAGGCACAAAAAAATCATTAACCATGTCTCTATAGCGTTCGCCATTGACTGTAACATTATGGCTGGCTTCATTTAAAAGAAATATGTACCAACGATTCCCTTTACCCATAGAGCATTCAACCAAAGGTGAGTGAGCTGCATCGCCGAACAAAGTATTCTGCTGAAAATTGCTATCGATGGCCATTTGGTTTTGGGCCCATTCACCGAATGTGCGTTCGGAGTAAGTTCGTTCGTTATGAAATGGCAAACCAAACTGACTATAAACTAAGTGTCAGCATTAGGTCTGCGTTTTTTTCCTACCATATATTGTGGACGGCGTTTAAAAATTTTAGCCGATACTCCATTGCCATTTCAACAGTCTTGTTAAATCATAAACTTATTGTTGCTATTGAGAATGAAACTACAAAAACACCATATTTTACTCTTATGAGTTTGACTTCATCAAACAACATACTTCTAAGCAACATACTTCAAGGTAGCCTCCAATCTTCAATGGCTATTTTACCACTTCTTTTTCGTCAGACACATTAATTTTTAACAATATGTACAGTGTTTGGTCAATAAAAGTTTCTTTCAAAAATAATTGTTTTGTATTATATTTTATATATTGTTATAAGTGAACTTATTTTTGCCACTTCTTACTTGATAATTCTTCATAATATCCATTAAATAATTATATTTTTTTAAATGAAAAGTATTTTCTACCAAAAAATCAATTAAACAATAAATTTCCACAAGACATATCACCGCTATTATTTTGTTTGCACATATTTTTCACCGCAGCTGCGACAGCTGTACAAACGACACGACGTATGAGTAACCACAATGAGAGCGCACAACAAACACACATACAACCAGAGAAACCTGCATGCCGAGAGTGGCAGGATTGCAGAACTTTGCAAGTGCCATTTGAGTAAATAGCTGACATTGCCTTTTGTGACAGCCGGAAAAATTTGCGCCCGATAGCACACAAGCAATGTGAGCAGCAACAAAAAATAACAAAAACTACACTTTCTAGGAGCAAACGGAAGCGAGCGAACAGCAACACGCAAGGCCAACACAATAACAATTGACGCAGTTGCTGTTGTTAGCAGTTTATATTTTTGCGTCTGAAGAGTTTGCGGCGCCAAGGGAGGGAGTGCATACAAAAAATTAACTGGCGATGGCATGCCAGACGAAACGGAGGGGTTTGGACAATCATGTAATGAAAAGTACGTCAAACTAAAAGAGCGCCATTAAATGGTGTGTCCTCACAGACTTAAACACATGTATGTACTTATATTTGTGTATATATGCATGGTTTCGTGCTTGACGCCAACAAAGGGGTAACCGAAGTCATTACTCACGACAGCGATATTTTTTACCCGGGGGTGTGTCTCCATGCTTGTTCAAAAATTTCTAAATTGCCTCAAATAGCTTAGCTGCATATGTGGCAACTTCCGTATGCAAAGGAATGTCTATATAAATATATATCACGTGTTCATGTATGGCTCGGTTGTTACGCAATGGGCAGCTATTTGAACAGCTAGAGGGTGTCTGCATTGTCAAACTTTGTTTTTTTTTTACTTTTTGTTTTCCATTGTTTTAGAAACACGCAACAACTAAGGGTTAGTCGCCGCTATGCAACTTTTAATAATTTGTCTCCTTTTGCGTTAAAAATACACTAACAAATGTAGCAGCTTGCCACATGACATTTCATCATTTGTCAAAACCTTTTAGCCATTTCGTGCAAATAATTGCGTGTTGGAAGATCTACCAATTAGATATTTGAAAAGCAAGAATTAAGTCTAGGTTTTTTAAAAACTATTTTAGTTTCATGGTTTTGGTAGATTTAAGGTTTCTTTGTTTTTTTTATGTGGGTGTGTGTCTTTGCTTAAATTTTCTTAATGCGCCTAATTGTGGGCAAAAATTTAATTTCAGAAATCTTTTAAGTTATACAATTTGGATCAAGGCTCACAAACTCCTAGATTTTGATGTTTATTTATAGCTTTCATGTTGAGAAATATTCACGATCGAACTATATACAGTTATTTCTATCAGGATCATGCTAATATTGGTTATTTGGTTGATTTGATAAGGCAGTATTAAACTGGTCTCGAGGCGAGGTTGTCATGATGGAAAATTATTGCCTCGTATGTAGTTGCAAATGTCGAATATCTTCGATAATCGCTCGCTTCCATTTGAAGAGTTGTTGTTGATAGCGTTCCCATTAATGGTTAAACCTGATGTTAGAAGTTCATAATATAGCATGTGTGCCCTTGTCGCCACAGACAACTACTCATATTACGAAACACATTACTTCGATCTCAGTGAACATATTCTCCATAACTTTTACCATATTTCAATGAAATCTGTTGTCGTCGGAAGTCCGCGTTAATTTGACAGTGTGAATTTCAATGGACTATTCTGGCAAGATATTAGGGCAAAAGAGCTTTATTGCTAGATCAGCCTATAAAAAGTTTCTAATTTACTTCCATTGGAAACCTTTATATCGGGATGGAAACTACTTTTTATTACTAAATTTATTTCGACTACGCACTTAGCCTAAGCACTTGGCTGTACTTAATTTAAAATATGAATCAAAACTGCTGTAAATTATTAGCAAACTATTTTTCTTACATCCCTAAAAACTACAATAATATACAAGCACAAACAAGAAGTAAAAGCAAAAATATTTCACAAAAACAAAAGCTCTTAAACAAACTAATAAAAGTCTCTATAATACTCTCTATTCATAACTCAATGCATCAATCGAAAAAATTTCAATCGCTTTGAATAAAAATGATTCTGAAGCCATAAAAGTTCTAAAATATTTTTTTTAGCATCTAAAAGCCTAAAATTTCACTTGATAGATATACATAGTATTAAATTGTACTTGTTTGATTTATTTTATTCCACTTTATTATTTTCTAGCAAAAGCCATCAGAGCCACCACTTCATGTTTGGTTGCAGGCACCTTACAGTTTTCACCAAAAAGCAATTAAATTTCAACACCATACAACAATGCGTGGAAAAATGTTGCCGAAACATAAAACGTTTAATGACGAAAGTACAGAGTTTCAACATAGAAAATGGCGCGTGCATCCTGCGGCAATTGATGACAGTCAATTTCGCTTTGTGGTAAACGGGGATTGTGAAAGTTGGTCGCAAAATATATTTTAAGCGAAAGTTAGTGATAAAATATTGCATTTTCTGCAGTTGATTGTAGACAAAAGTAGCTTTTGTTTTTACTGAAATTCTGTTTTTTAGTTTTGATGTATCGAAGATTGGGGTTTGTGGATTGAATATGAAGGATATTATTTATATATTTTGACATATGTATTTAACCTAACAAGACGCTATTGACGTTATTTTATAAAAGTATTTTTTTAATTTAAATTAATATATTTATCCGAGTCTAGACTTAATTTTGTTATATATTAAAAAGATTTCTGCTAACGCCGCAAATCGTAAGCTTTAATAATATTTTCGTTTATCTTTGCTTTAAGTTTGCAACTAGGTCTGTAGTTTTTAACAGCATTGTTCTCTATTTGTTTGTTGTGAACTAGA